CCCCAAAACCCCAAAACCCCAAAACCCCATTAATCTGCAATTTATGATATTTAGGAGTACAGATGCATGAAGAAAATTAAAATATTAAATTATAATCGATCATCATACAACTAAAATAATTCTAAAATGACTTCTTAAACCGAAGAATAGCAATAGTATTTTACATTTGAACTTCCAACTAATGAATCTCTTGGGACAGATAAAAGTTGAAATATTGATATCAAAGTTGACATGACCCTTCAGTAAAATTCAAAATACGGTCAGGCCTCATTGAATGATAAAAATATTGGCAGAAGTCCTCATAGGAGTACAGATCTAGCACATAACAATAATGAAGAATAAGATTATACAAAAAGGAGGAAACCGAAACTTAATTCTATCATTCCAATTCAAGGTTTCAAATCATAGGCTGTTTAGTCAATGAATGGCTCTAATATTGGAATGTCCTCTCAAGTTGAGTCATTGCCAGATGATTCAAATTTAAGTAGAATGAATATAAATGAAATAAAACTTTAACTAGATGCTATAACTCCACTCAACATTGACTTAAAATATATCAATCAAACAGATATTGACCTAAACATGCTTAGCCCACTCAAAAAAACAGATGAATCTGGTCTAAATGGGTCATTGAGGCTACCTTAATTCGAGACATTAAAGCCTTTTAATACAACCTAGAATAGTTTTAGACAGTAAAAAGTTTAGAACTAAAAAGGATCAAGAAGGAGTTCAAGGAATGAGGTATACAATAAATGATAAACTTCAAATAATGTATCACCAGATAAAAAATCCAAAGTACCAAAAACATACCAAGATTGGAGGAATTAAGAATTGCATAAAATTAGAGAAAAATAGCTTCAGAGTCTGCCTAATGTATAATTAAATAGAGAGAGAAAGCACAGAATAGATAATATTAAATCTAAAATTAGAGAGGATGCCCTTTCTAAAACTCAGATAAAGAATACTAATACATTAGAAGATGGACTTAGACAAAAACTCTCAAGGCTTCACTAGATTACCGTTTAAGAAGAGCCATTTACTTATAGTTTGTCTAAGGTTCATGATAGGACTTTCATACACAAAATATTACCTTGTATATAAAGGTAACAGCTAAAGCATTCACCTATTGGAGCGAGTAACTCGAAAAGTCCCAATCTACTTAGAAATACCTTCAGTGTTGAAATGTATGCTGAATTCTTAAAATTCAAGAATTAATAGCAGCAAAAGTAAAGAGCTGAATAAAAAAGAATTAAAGGAGTTGACGAACTAAATTAGGACAGTACAAGAATAGATATGAGTAAAAAAATTAAAATATCTATAACTGAAACTAAAAATGAGTAAAAAAGGTAATCTACTCCCAGAGATTCTAGAGATAATATAAAGATTCTAGATCTTGATTAAAGTAAGTCGCCTTCTAGAGCTTAAAGTTGAAAGAATAAAGATGTTAAGCTACCAAAAGTCTAGAAAGCTCAAGAACCTGCTTAAACTCCAAGAGAAAGCATTTCCAGGAGGCATAGCGCAGCAAAGAGTGATATCAGTTAATTGTTAAGCGAAATTGGAATGAATTTTAAAGAAAAAATGGAGTTTATGATGCAAAAAAGAAAAGAAGAGGAAAAGAAAAAGGCAATGCTTGAATAAATAAGGAAAAAGAAAGCTCAAGGCTAAACTCTGGATATGGATTTCTTTACTTAGTTAGAATAGAAAGATATGGACAACAGGCTCATTGAGATCATAATGTTTGAGATAAATAAAATGTTTTCAAAGGAAATGCTTAAATACAGAAATGTAACTTCAGAGTATAACTCTATGCTAAAAAGGAAGAACTTGCTTGAAGCAAAGCTGTTCAAAAAACGTTATGAAAAAGTTTAGAAGCATTTAAATGGTGTACCGAATATGGACAGCTCATTAAATCCCTTTAAGAAGTAGTACTAGCCTAGTATATTCAATACCAAAATGATGGACAATAAGATGGATGTGCCTAATAACAAGGAACTCTATGAAAATGTCATAAAGGAAGCATTCGATGATCTTGCTGATACAGACTAAGAAGAAGGATAGAGTGCTGAAGCTGTGAAAGAAATGGGCGATAAGGAAATCATTGAAAGAATCAGAATGAAATTTAGAAAGAGAGTGATTAAAGAAGGTCCCTCAATCATGAATGGGGCAACTGACTAAAACACTAGGTTTTTAGAGCAAATGATGAATTTATGTAATTTCTAGAGAATCTCAAATAAGATCCAAGGCGGCATTAATAAGTTCCAAAGATCTCACAGACTCAAGAATAAATCTATGAGTTATAATACTTCTCCCAGGCCAGAGTAGAATACTAATGATGACTTAGACTAAACTAAGTCTTCATTTTTCATCACCTAGACTTTTATGCCTATGGTCTCTAGCAGTCACAGATAAACACCAACTAAGCAATATCATTCGAGTAGATTTAAAACCTTGCATGAGCAAAATAACTCTAGCTCTCCAAATGTTACTAACTATCTGAATTATTTAGCCAGCAATCACTAGAGCAATATTTCAACTAAAAGAATAAACGATTACAGTACGATTTAATTAAATTCTAACAAATCCCTGAATGCCTAGTCCTCGTCAAGGTATGGAATGACTAATGTTTCGAGAAAGAACTTCCAAACTCTTAATCCATTTCAAAAGAACTCACCATCTCCATCTCGAAGTCTACTGCGATAAGTAAGTAAAAGCACTGATCTGTCACCCATAATAACTGAAGTTGAAAAGGAAATTCAGATAAAAGATGATATTAAGGAAAAAGCTAGATCTAAGACTCTATCTATAAAGGATTGGGAGTAAATAGGTCAAAGTAGAATGCTTTAGTTCACAATCCTTGATAGAATCATCGAGGACTGTACAGACTATGATCGAACAAACTAGGATAAGCTGACTAAGCTGAGACTTGGTTTAAATAAAACCGATTCAATTGAGCATGCCAAACATAGTAATACAATGGCTACTACTAGTAGGGACAGTATAAACAAAGACACAAAGAAGAAAAATATTGAAGATACCCTAACATTTTTAGAGAAACTCAAAAAGATGAATAAACTTTCACAAGTTGAGAAACTAAACTTTGAGTGAAGCTGATTATAATAGATCCTACCTATATAAATTCAATAAATTGTCGATGAATTATTAAAGTTTTTCAAGACATGATCAATATATTAGCTTAAGTATTAATTAAGTTTAATTATTAAAATTGTTATCAAATCAAATGAGTCTGTAAAATTATACCTCTATCTGCCCAGTTGCTCGTCCTAATTCGGGCTTCAAATCTAAATCTCCTTTGTTTTCTCTCAAGAGATATTCCAATTAAACTAAAGAGTAATTAGCCTAAGAAACTCAGAAATAGCAATCAGGTTCTGAAATTGATTAAACTAACTTATCTTCGCAATACTATACATTAAATCAAACGAAATTGAATTAATCTAAACAAGAAGGGATAGTCAGGAATTTAAATACTTCTTAAGACATAAACAGTAAAACTAAAAAGAATTCTAGTAGTTCTGGAAGACTTGTGAGCTACTAAGCAAGGAGAGACGAGAAAAAAGTGAATAAAAGTTAGAGCAGCAGAAGTCAATCTCAAAGTTAATTTATTGATCAAGAGTAAAAAGATGCCTATTTGACTGCCTTCGATGAAACAACACCAAAGCCACTCCTACTCAGACCTAAGTAGCAATCTTTACATGAAAGGAGATAGACATAGAATGATTATAAAATGAACTCCCAGACTCCACAGATTGTAGAAAAATATGATAAAAAGATGCCTATTATAGTCGAGGATGTTAGCAATTATGCGGATAAAACATAAGTAGCAAAGCATCAAGATTTAAATGAATTAAAGGAGTAACTTGAAAAACAATAACAAGATATTGAAATGTAGAGATCTTTATAGCAAATTAATATCGAATCGTTTGATTCCAATAGTCCATAACTTAAACTCGAGAATCTAGTCAACCTGTGGAGCAAAATTAAGAGTGCTCACTAAGATATTAACAATAGCAGAGAAAACAGCAAAGATAGAAAAGCTCTAAAATATTTTAACAAAAACTTACACATCGAAGCCCCTATGGTAAATATAGACAAAGTAGAATTAAAAAAAGCCAACTCCACTCAGAATCAGAATATTTGTTCGATTAATCATGGGATCCTAACAGATGAATATTGCAACTTGAACTATTAAAGAAACTATGAAAATACGTCTTAACAGGATCTGTCAGCTTTAAATAATTCCCATTTTGAAGCTTTGCAACCTAGAGTTAACGACCCTTAAAAGATTCAAAAGAGTCTTGCTTTATTAAAAAGCAGGCAGCTTTCAACCAATAATAGAACTTAGATTAAGGATTAAACCTTGATTCATAATATGAGCATTTAAGATAAAGAAGGAGGGATAAGTAGTTTACAGTAGCTTCAGATAACTCCAATTTAGCTAGCCAAACAAATACTTGAGAAAAATAAACAGTACTTTGAAAAGCAAACTAATCAGAAAAGCTCTAAAAAGAGCAATAGTAATAATACTTCTAATATTTCAACTCCATCAAAGCTGAATAATTTAAATTCAACTACCTATATTTAATCTATTAAAAAGTAGTATCTCACTTCATACAAGTAAAATCTGTAAATGAGTCCTAAAATCAAAAATAAGCCTTAGATGAGAGAAGACAGTGTCGAAAGTAATAACGAAGCACTTAGTAAAGATAGATTCTTCAGCTCAACTATAGAGTCTAACAAATAAGCCAATGAAAATAGGTAGGACAAGTTAAATTACATAATATCTTAAGTTAAACACAAAATTGACTTGCAAGACTATGATTAACAACAACCGTAAAGACAAGAAAGTTCAAAATTAACTCTGATACCTTAGAAATAAAGATCAATTCATCAAAGAAATTCAATGATAGAATAGTAATGCTAAAAGCTTATTCCTGATAATTCTATTGAAGAGCACAATCTTGAATTAAAAACAGAAAACCAAGTGAGGTTGAATAATCATCATACAATTAAAGTTTAACAATTGAATTCAACATAAAGTGGTCAAAATTAAGATAGTCTTCGGATCAATTCACTTTCAAAGATTCTTCCTTCTAAATTGAAACAGCCTACTGTAATAAATAAGACTCCTAGTAACTAGGCAATGCATAAATTAGACAACAATAAACTTAATTAGACAGCTAAGTTGATGGCATTAAAATAGAGAGGCATCAATAAGGTACTTACCACTAACTCACAAGGTACTACTAGATTTTCATCCAAGAGAAATTCATTACAATCTGGAATATTGTAGACAAAAATCAAGTGATTATCAATAATCATAAAGACTTATAAATCAAGATAATTCATATAATTAATAGAATAATTTTTACTAATCTAAAAAAGGTATTTTATACAATTCCTGGGGTTTTGGGGTTTTGGGG